CCTCCTCCCTCCTCCTCCTCTCTCTCTCTCTCTCTCGCTCTGCGAGGTTAGTTGTATAGAGCTATACATCTATATATATATTTATTTATATTTATATGTATGCAGTCATCGGGGCGAGAGGATGGAGGTGTGCAGTGACAAGAAGGACGACGGCGGCGGCGGGGGCAACAGCAGCAGCGGGATTCCGCATTCCGTGCAGCGGGAACTGCGTGCGGTGATTGAGGAGAAGACGACGCTTTCGCTGAGGCTGGGGGAGCTGCAGCGGGAGGTGGAGAGGCTGCGAGCGGAGAAGGGCGGCGGCGGTGCGGTGGGTGAGGCTGGGCTCGCCGTGTGCCAATGTCGATCGCTGGAGCGGGAGAACAAAATGCTTCGCGCGCAGCTGCTCCGCGAGATTGCCGGCACGCAGCCACTACGGCGGACTGAAGGAAAAGTGACTGCGCCTCCGTCTTCCTCTCCGGAAACGGCGGGCGGCATTGATAGCGTGCGACTTCCCTCGGAGGGGCTCCTTCGTACGGTGCGGGCCGCATTTGAGCCCGGCAGTTTCGCGGTCGACGAAGGCACTGCCGTCACGGTGGAGTACAACCACGACTTCCTCGTCGTGCGTGGCCCACGGGCGAGTCGGGATGCGTTCATGGCCCGGCTGCTGCACACCGTGCTGCGCTACATGGAGGGCGCGCCGCAGCGGGGGTTTGGGGCCTCCGGGGACGCGGCGGCGGCGGCGGCGGCGGCGGACGAGCGGCGGCCCCTCCATCTGCTGCGCCGGGCGCTGGAGTCGGAGCAGGTGGCGCGGGAGCAGGCGACGGTGGCCCAACGGGGCGCAGAAGAGGCGTGTGCCCTGCAGCAGGCCACGCTGAGCCTCGAACGCGCGCAGCACACGGAGGAGAGGCGGCAGTTAGAGGGGCGCGTACGGCAACTGGAGGCGGCGCTGCGGCGGGAGCGGGACAAACTTCACGTCCCCCTGCGGCGGCTAGAGGCGAACGACCCACAGACGCGGAACGCCGGTGGCGATCGTCGCGCCGACGCGGTGCCCGCGGCCTCGCCCCAACGCGGCGGGGACCCTCCCGCGATGGCGCTGCAACCGGAGAGGAATGCCGCGTCGGCGACGAAAGGTAGCGGCGCTCCTGACCAGAGTCCTGCTGGCGGCATCCCGCCTAGAGGTCACGCGTGTGGGGCGACGACGCAGCCGCTTCAGCGGGAGGTGGAGCTGCTGCGGGATGAAAAGTATCGTTTGTCGCAGCAGCTGCAACACAGAGTGGAAGTCGTGGAGCAGCTGCGCCATCAACTGCGGGAGGCCGAGGCCGCGACGGCGCATTTGTGCCGTGGTGTGTTAAGCTCGAGTGAAGTTGCGGCGATGATTATCAGGGGGGCGGCGGCGGCCCCCTATCTTGTGCTGCACCGGAGCGGCGGCGTTGATGAGCACCAAGTGCGGGGGCTCGTGCAGGCGCTCTCAGAGGGCAGCGGCGGCGCCCCTCCTGCTGGGGCCGCTCGGCCGGTGGAGCAGCGGCTGGCGGATGCAGCGGCGCTGCTGGAAATAGAGCATCGCGCGTGGAAGGAGGCCCTTGCGTTTGCCATGGACGAACGCGATGCCGCCCTGCAGGCACAGCGGGAGGCGGCGCTTCTGGCTCGCCCCGGCGCCGCCGTGGCACCACCGCCGCCGGTTTTGTCATCGTCTGCAGCGGCAGCGGCGGAGGTCCTCGAGAAGGAAAACGTGGAGCTGCGCATTGAGCTCCAGCGCTGCTTCGAGGACATGCGGCGACTGGCGGATTCCATCGCGCGGTCCCAGGCGATGTACCAGGCGGCACAGGAAAAACTCCGGGCGGGTGAACGGCGCATGCACGAGAAGGAGCAGACATCACGGTGCCTTAGGCAGCGCCAGGACGCTGCCTTGATGGCTGCGCTGGAGCGGGAGCGGTCACTGGAGCTTCAGCTGCAGCGTCTACGGCAGAAAAGCAAGTGGGGCGCCACGCAGCCGCCGAGCGCCGCCGCCGCCGTCGTTCACGCCGAACCAAAAGTCGCGGCGCTGGCGCATCTTGTGTCGACGCCGTCCAAGAAGAGCTGCGCGGCGAGTGGCGTTACACTCAGTGACAGCAGAAACTATCAGCAGGGGCAGCACCAAAACAACGCCGACACGCAGGAGTGCAGTTTTATTAGCAGGAGCAACGGCCCGCAGAGTGGACCCAGCACGGCAACAACGCCGCTGCGAGGGACGGGCGCGGCTGGAACGGCTACGCTCTCCTCTCCGTCGGCGCCACTGCGGAAGGAGAACTTCGAGGGGGCGCTTCACGCCATCCACCCTGCATGAGACCCGTGGGAGGGGAATAAGGCGGGGAGACTTCCTCCGTGCCGGGAGGAAGCGGATTGCGTGTGCAGGGGAGGAAGCGATTCTGCGTGTGGAACATCAGTGACTGCTCATGAGAGCGGTGTGTGTTTTTGTGGCTGCGGCTCTTCGTTCACTCTATGTATCTCCATGCGATCGCAAGGGTCCCCATCGCAGTTTCTACTCTTTTTCTCTTGTCTTTGCCTCAGGGGAGCGGCGTGCGGCAGTCAAGGGGCGACGTCGTTCTTTATTTCTTTCTTTCTGAAGAGAGAAGCAGAGATAGCGCTGTAACGCCACGCAGTAGTGGGGCAGTGGTGGTGGTGGCGGCGGTGGTGGGGAGAAGCAGCGGAGGCAACGAGGGAAGCGTGGAGAACAAGCACTGGGGGCAGCAGCAACGAAAGAGGAGGAAGCAAGTAGAAAGCCGGTAGCAATGGGGTCGCACGGCACCGCGGCGCAGGGCGGCGGCAGCGCACTCTGGCGCTCGCTCTTTCTCCCCCTCAGGGAACGTGTCGTGTTTGCGTCCTTCATCACAATGCTATGTCCGCTTCAGCAGCCGGTGCTGCAGCCGGAGCAATTTTCGCACCGGGCGGCTTCCGTCGACGCGGACGCTGCGCCCCCCGTCACAGCTGGGAAGGTCTACGGCCCCGAGGACGACGGCGACGCCATGCGCTCGCCCCTCTTCGCACTTTGTGGGGAGCGGGCGGACGCCATTGTCTGCGTGCTTGCGGACGGCGGCGTGGTCTTCTTTGACCTGACGGACGAAAATGAGGGGCCGAAGGAGATCCGTCGCTTCTCCGCAAGAAAACCACGCAGCGGCGCGGCGTACGAAGCCACGTGCGCCTCCACCATTCCTTTGGAGGTGACGTACATGTGCCGCGTTCCCGCGCTGGCGCAGCCGGCAGCGGCGGCGGCGGCGGCGGCCTCGCAGCTCTCAGGCAACAGCGGCATCGCGGACACCTTCAAGCCGGGGGCACCCGTCTTGAGCCGGGCAATGTACCTTCGCGGGGTTGTGGGGTCGCGCGACGGCAGCGTCGAGGTCTTTTCCGAGCTTGGCTTCGTGTTCGGCTTCGTTGCCCACGACGCACCAGTGGTGGCGGTGGCTGCCATATACACCGCCGAGGACGAGAACGAGGGCGGAAGTCAGCCGGGGGCCGGCGCAAAGCGGGATTCAAAGCTCCTCCCGGGCAGCGAGGGGCCGGGGGGGCGGTTTGAGATCGCCACGGTGGGCCTGGGGTTCGTCACGTGCAGCTCCGAGGGGGTGGTGTATGTATGGAAGAGAAGCGGGCTTGTCATTAAGCCAAAGTTCTTCGAGAGGAGCACATTTCCCTCGCGCAAGTTTAAGCTGCACGTGGTGCAGCCGTCCGGTCGGGAGCTGCTGCTAAGCGGAATGGGGATGGCGCGGACGCCGCTGCTGGTGCACACCACCCCCGGCCTGGGGCACGAGCTCCGCGTGCGCAGCAGTCTGACTTTCAAAGACGTGGAGCCCCGCGTCAAGTTGCCTGGGTCTCTTTTCACCCGCACCACGGCGATTGCCGCCGTGGAAAAGTTGGCGCTGGTGGCGCGCGGCAAAAAGGTGTACAAGGTCGACCTCGCCGAGTCCCGGTGTGAGCGCCTCCTCACGGCCCGCCACACGGTGACTGGCCTCTGCCTTGGCAGAACCGGCCTCGCCGCGGCCACCTGCGACGGTGGCGGCATGCTGTACGTCCTCGCCCTCGACCCCGTCTCGGTGCTTGGCCGTTACTACGCCCGCGGCGGTGGCCCGTTTTGCTCCGTCTCGCTGCACCCGGACTCGCACCTCCTGGCAATTGTCTCCGGCGATGGGGCGGTGGAGGTGGCGATGATGCCGGAGGCGTGGAACGACGGATCCGTCAACAACCTTCACACCTGCGCCGATGTCATGAGTTCGATTCAGGCCGCAAAGGCCCTCTACTGCCTCGTGGGTCTGCAGCAGCGGAGGGGGGCCGCGTTGTGCAGTGCGGCTGAGGCAATATCGCAGGCTGCCGAGTACGAGGCGCTGCTGCTGGCGCGCATGGCAGTCCCGGCGGGGACGACGCGGTACCTGCACCACCCCGCTGGGATCGCATTAACAGAGGGAAAGATGTAACAGAAATTCATACAGCAAAGAGTTGGGAGGGAGCCGGCAGCAACGCGGCGCTTTCTCTGTTTTCCTTTATGTGTGTCTCTGTGTGTGTATGTGCGTTGTTGTTGTTGTTTTTTGTTTTGTTTTGTTTTTGTTCGCCTTTTGGCTTTTCAGTTGACGCGTGTTTGACGGTTGCTTTCCCTCCGCCCTGTTCGTTGCATTCCCCTCTTTCCGTCTGTGTGTGTGTGTGGCTGCGGCACACTCCTCCGCTTGTCCCCTGCATGTGTGCTCCCCTGCCTTGCTGCCGCCTCACGTCTTGTCCCCGCGGAGGAAGTGAGGGGGCGGCCGGAAGCGAAATAAATTAACGTAGCGGCCGCGGTTGCAGCGGGGCCTGTCACTTCTCACGAGAAGCGAGCGGGAGAGATAGAGACCGAGAGAGATAAGAAAAGGGCCTGCTTCCCTTCCTGCGTGCGTCAGCGGCTGACGGGCTCTTTGGCTAGTCGCAGCAGCAGCAAAGAAGAAGCGACTGCCGCCTCTGAGAGGATGCTGCGCCGTGCGCCGTGCCTCTTTGCGGCGAACATTCCGCGAAGTGCGTGGGACCCGGCGCACTTCAACACGAATTGGTCTGACAGCTACAGCAGCGACATCGCGGCCCGCCGCCACTGGCCCGCAAAGAAGTGGTCCATCGGCCTCGAGCCACGCACCCCCCGGGACTGGCTGCAGTTCTCCTACCGCAACCTGGCCTACGCCTACAACGGCGCCCTGCGCGCCTGCCAAAGCTTTCCTGAGATGCTGGTGTACTACAAGGAGATGAAACAGCGCGGGGTGAAGGTGGACGTGGACACCATGAACGTTCTCCTCACCCGCGCCGCACGCTACGAACGGATTCAGGTGGACGATGTCTTCCTGCTCTTTGACGAGTTGACGGCGCTGGGGGCCCGCCCCGACATCGCGGCCGTTGAAACCCTGCACACGGTGCTGGACCACAGCGCCGCCATGCCGCAGGAGTGGCGCGAGGCCCGTCGCCGGCAGCTGGTGGAGTTGTACAACTGTCTCGCCATTGAGGAGATTGAGCGGCTTGCCCCGCATCGCGTGGACCGGCTGCTGAAGGCGCAAGTCAAACGTTATCGGGATAATCTGCGTGCACTGAAGGCGAGCCTCAGCCCCTCTGTCTACCGCCGCTACCTGCACACAATGCACTCCGCCTCGCTGCTGCTGGAGGAGGTGCACAACTTTTTGTGGGAGCTGGTGGAAAGCGACCACCCCGCGATGGAGATCCCCGCGCTGCAGCTGCGCATTCCATTTGTGGGTTCCGTCCTGCGACGGCCTGACGCCGACGCCAACGCGTCGCTGGTGAAATTCACAGACTTTGAGGACACGGACGTGTGCTCAGTTTTCCTCGCCGCCGCGGAGCGGGCGGTGGACGCCGATCTTCACGACGCCCGGCCAGTCTCGGAGCGGCGGATATTTCTCTCGCTGCTGACGATGATTTCCTACAGCGGCGTGCTGTACACCGCAGACCTCATGGCGCACCTGATGGAGATGGTGAAGTACTCCACCAACGGCGCCGCGCGGGACTCGGACGCGCAGCGGCTTCTGCGGTACGCCATTCGTGGCTCCGGCGCCGCGCAGGATGAGGCGCACCGCGCGCTGTGGCAGAAGGTGGAGACGGTAGCGGACAGCCGGGTGGTGGGCCGGTACCTCGGCGCCCGCGAGCCGTGGAGCCCCACCCGCGTGTGCTTCGACGAGCGGGGGATGTTCAAGTCCTACCCGCCGCTGGTGCGCGCGGCGGGGGCGGGCAGGGCCTCTGCCAGTGCGGAGGCAACCACGGCGGGCGGCGCTGCGCTGGAGGACGGCGCGGGGGAGCATCAGGTGCAGCGGCGGGGCGCGTCGAATGAGATGGCCGCGCACACAGGCGCCGCGGAGGCGGAGGAGGAGGTGGAGGGCGTGCGCGGCGCCGTGGTGGCGGCCGAGCCGGCAGCGGGTGCCGGCAGCAGGGACGCCGCGCTGCAGGAGGCATCCCACGGAGAGCAGCGGACGGTAGAGGCGTTGAATTTGCGCTGGAGCGACGTACACCGCCTGATTGAGCGCACACGCGCCCTCACAACGCCGCCGACGGAACGGCACCCGCAGCAGGAGAAGATGGAGGTTTTCACGGGCATCGCCGTGTACTTGCGCACGCTCGCCACCGGGCGCCGCTACGGCGGTGACGACGAGGAAGCGGCAGAGGCAGCGGGAGGCGCAAACCCCGCCGAGTCACAGGGGCAGGCTTTATTTGCCGCCGGCTACGGAATAGACGTCTGGGCGCGGGTCTTTGACCTCGTGCAGGAGGTTCGCCACGACATGGAGAAGTTCATCACGGACAACGCGGCCCACCACGTGGAGCCGGAGTTTGAGTGCTGGGAGGCGCTGCTCGTCACGCTCCGCTGCGTCCTGGACTTCTGCGTGGTGCAGACGCAGGAGCAGGGGAAAGGGGCGCGGGCGGCGGCGGCGGCGGAGCTCTTCGAGAAGGCAATGAGGCTGCGCAACGAACTTGTGGAGGAGAGTCGCACACGATTCGGCGGTAGGATGCGGATTTTGTGGCTGCAGGAGGCCTGAGTAGCAGCGGAGGATGCGGCAAGACGACGAAGGAAGAAGGAACAAAGAAAACAAAAACAAAAAAAAAAGAGGAAGAGGCTGGTTTGTGCGGTGGTATTTGCGATCACCAGCGGCGGCGCCGTGGCGGAGGCACTGCAGTATCTTTTCTTTCTTTGTCCCTGTCTTCTCGCGGTGTGTGCGTGCGTTTGCGTCGAGAGAGAGAGGAGGTAGGAGATAGGAGATAGGCAGGATGCATTCTAGGCGATCGCCGCGGCGGGGGGGGCGCTCCACGGAGGCGACGCTCATGACGCAGTTCATGCGGTACCTCCCGCTGCTCTTGGGGCTAGTGACGCACCTGCCGGGGTTCCTTGCCGGCCTCGCCCTCGTCTGCCTCTACTTCGCCATCGTTGGACGAGACGCACTCAAGCATGAGTACGCGCCGGTGGCCGGCTTTCACGTTGCGGCGCTGCTGCTGCTGCGGGAGCTCGTCAAGCCGTGGCGGGAGGGAAAGGCGCAGGCCGCCGCCGTGCGGCAGCGGCTTGCGTCGCAGCGCACCCTCGCCGACGAGGTGCAGCTGCAGTGGCGTGCGACGCTGGACTGAGCCTGCGGCGGCGCGCGGGGGGATGCCGAAGGCTGCGCCCTCGCACCCGGTGGTGGGGATGTCTCTGCCTGCCTGTCTGTTTGCCCGTTGCTTCCCCCACTCCCCCTAAAGGCAAAAATAATAAAAATGTGATTTGTCCGTCACTCTCTCCTTGCCAGCGGTAGCGCGCACACACACAGAGAGAGAAAGAAAGAAAGAAAGATAAAACGAAGGGCATCGCGACAATGCGAGGTGCTGGGGCTGTGACGAACTTCACCGTCCGCGTCGCACTCCTCCTCTTGGCCGCCGCCACCGCTCTCGCCGCGGGCGGGGCGCTGGCGGAGGTGCAGCAAACCGGCACCGTGACGACGCTGCAGGTGCGCTACAACGCGAGTGCGAATGCATTTTCCGTCACGGAGGGGGCGTTGTTTGGCCCCGTCGCCGCCACGCTGCGGGTGAACGACTCCTTCTCGCAGACCGGCTGGGACGTTGTGGAGGCGGCGGCGGCGGAGGCGTTCCTGGACTCCGGCCCCCGCCTCGGCGAGGCCGAGCGGCTGCGGGTGGCCTACCAGGCGATGGGCTACGGCGAGGGCTACGCCACGCAGCTGCGCATGGAGCAGACGCTCAACAACACGTTCCTCGGCGAAGACGGCCTCGGCGCGGTGCTGCGCCGCAACCCGCAGGTCGAGGGGTGGGTGGAGAAGCATCTGGCGCACATGAACACCAGCGCGGCGGCCGCTGCCGCCGGCGACGAGTACGGGCAGCAGCTGAAGAACATGCTCTCCCTCCTCGACGGCCTCTTGGCGGGGTACAACGACCGTGTGCGGGGGCGCGGGCCATTGCTGAACCGCACGTGGCTGTTTTACCTGAACTTTCAGGAGGAGGTGGGCGACGTCGCCAGGGCGGTGACGCCTGCCGCGGCCTTCGCGCAGCTGCAGGAGCTGAGCCCGCGATTTTTGAAGGACCTGCACTGCTCCGCGCTGGTGAAGTTGACGCCGTACGACATCTTCTTCTCGCACGTCACGTGGTCCTCCTTCAACACGATGCTGCGGCAGTACAAGACGTACCGGGTGGGGGCCCGCTCGGTCACCATGACCTCCTACCCCGGCGCCGTCCACAGCATCGACGACTGGTACATGACACACGCCCGGCTGGCCGTGATGGAGACGACCAACGGCGTCTCGAACCGCAGCCTCTTCGCCGGCCTCTCCCCCAACACCGTGTCTGAGTTTCTGCGGGTGATGATTGCCAACTTCCTCGCCACCGACAGCCCCTCGTGGGTGAAGTACTTCGCCCGCAACAACAGCGGGACGTACAACAACCAGTGGATGGTGCTCAACTTGGGGGCGGTGAGGAACCCCGGGGCGCCGCTGCCCGCCAACACGTTTTGGGTGGCGGAGCAGCTGCCGAGCTCCGCCGACGCGTCCGGGGTGACGGCCGCCGACATGACGGAGCACCTCAGGAAGCACGGCTACTGGGCGAGTTACAACATACCGTACTTTGAGAACGTCTACAACGTCTCCGGTTACCCGCAGAAGGTGGAGAAAAAAGGGGACTTCTTCTCCTACACAAAGTGCCCCCGGGCACGGATGTTTAAGCGCAACCACAGCGACGTGGTTGACCTCGAAAGCATGAAGCGACTCATGCGGTATAACAACTACAAGGAGGACGAGCTCTCCCGCATTCAAAACTGCAAAGGGGCTGGGACGAACAACACGTGTGACCCGCCGTATAGCGCCATGTTGGCCATCGCCTCACGCGGCGACTTGAACCCTCCAGGCAACACAACAAACTACGGCCCGCTTGCCGGCCACATCGGCCACATCAACCACGGCGCAACCGATGCGAAGATTGGCTCCTGGAGTGGGATGGTGCTGGACCCCGGCCACTACACCGCCCACGTCGTGTGCGGCCCCACAAGCGACCAGCAGCCCCCATTTCTCTGGAAGGAGGGCCTCTTCACGCCGATGCCTGAGAAGGTCGGTCTGCCGGATTTGTACAACTTCAGTTTCGTGACATACACGACCGACGTTTTTTGGGATCACACAGACAAGGAGAATACGCGCAACAAATGGATTGGCATCGGCATTGGCATTGGGGCGGCGGGGCTGGTTCTCGTTTCCATCGCGGTCGTCATCTTCCGCGCACACCGCCGCGCCAAGCTGCTGAGCGAGGAAACCCTCCTCGCCCAGTGAGACGTCTGCGGGCCACGCCCGTGACGAGTTTCCCTCTCGCGGTGTTGCGTGTTAGAAAGTAAGTAGTACGTATTTATATGTGCATGCTTCTGCTTGGGTGCAGGCTGAAAAACATCAAAGCTTGTGGTCATGTGTAACTACACGTTTGACAGGCAACGAAGTAGAAGTAAGAAAGAGGAAAGCAAAGCGAGGGAGTCAATGAAAACAAAAACACAAAACAGATGGGTATTTCCAAACTCTCGGGGTCAGAAGGAGTGAAAACGAAGTGGCGTTTGCTGTGGTGGGCAGCCGCACGGGATGTGGAGAGGACGATACTGGTTTCACTGTCTTTTGGCTGTTGTCTCTTTGTTTTGTTTTGCTTTTTTGTTTTTTTTTCTCAGTGGATAATTTTTGAGGAGCTGCGCGTGTTATTTTGCCTTGGTTTATTTATATTTTCTTCGGGACTTGTATGAGTCCGGAGGAAGGGAGGGAGGGGGGCATGCGCTGCGGGAGTACGTGAACGGCTGAGCGGGGAAGACACCGACGACAGCCGTGAAGCCCCGGCGGTGCTGTCCGTCGGGGAGGCGCTCGCCCACGTGCTTCGCTGCTGCTGCTGCTGCTGCTGCTGCTGCTGGCTCTCCTCCAGTTTCTCTGCCGCGCTGGTGAAGGATATATCTTTTTTTTTTCTTCTTACCCCTCCTCCAAGTGCCTTTTGCTCCTTCCCCTTCCCCAGCGGGGTGGGTTGACGACGCCGCTGGAGCTGCTGCTTGGCTCCTCTCCCGCGTACACGCAGCAGCGGCGGGGACGCCCATCTATGTACTCTTCGCCCCCTCCCCACCCCTTTTTTCTGTTCTTTTATATTATTGCTTTTCTTTTCTTTTCTTTTGGGCCTCACCTGGCGTGTGGCTTGTCCCCCCCACCCCCTGGTCAACCTCACCGCGCAAGGCTCGTAGAAGCGTCTTTCGTCCCCTCCTCTCTCTCTTACACACACACACACACACACACGCTCTCCGTGGCTTTCCCGCTGTGGGTTCCTCGTGGCACTGCGGTGGGAGGCGTCGCAGGACGATGCTGTTTTCGCTCGACGGCTTGCTGGTGAAGGGGGAGGCGGGGCCGCTCTTAAGCGTGGCGGAGGGGCAGCAGCTCGTCGCCCTCTACCGCCTCTTTCACCGCCTGCACCACTCGCAGCCTGCGCGGGGGGCCGGCGTGGCCCACGCTGTGGCGCCGCAGCGCGCGTCCTTCCCTGCGTTTCTGCGCCCCGTCGTCGCCCACTCGGCGGCGGCGGCAGCGGCGGAGAGCGGGGGCAACGGCAACGCCGACGCCCTTGACTGCATCGGCGAGGCAAGCGGCCACGAGAAGGAGGGGCTTGTCGGCGGTGGCGGTGGCGGCGGCGGCAGTCACGACGTCACGAACGGCGCGGAGTTTGTCACCGCCCCCTGCGGCAACACAAATAGGGCGGCAAACGGGATGGAGGAGGCGCAGTTGCGGACGCCACTGTCTTCGTGCGGCGCCGCAGGCACGTCAAGAGGGCGCAGCGGCGGTGCCGTGGAGGCAGTCGCCCTTCAAATCTGCACTTCGCGGCGGAAGCTGTTTTGTGTTCAGCGACTTGTCCCTGAGACGGGTGACGCGGTCTTTTTTTGCGGCGGTGTAGGCGCCCACGCCGCACAGGCGCCCCCCTGCGCCGGGCGGCCACGGAGCATGTGAGACGAGGCGTCCCCCCATACAACTACCTCAGGAAGAGGCAGGTGCGGGGCGGCAGGATTTTTGTAGGAAGTCGTCGGTGCCGCTGGCAAGAGCACTGCCGATGACGGCGAATGCCGCAGTACCGCCCCAACAGTTTGTGTAGGTGCGTGTTCGTATATATTTCCCTTTCCTTCTTTGCATGTGCGTATGCATGTGCGTGACTGCGTGATCTATCGTCCTCTCCGGCGCCTCCCACTGTGGCTCACCCTCCGTCTCTCTCTCTCTCTCTCTGTCCGCCTTTCTGTTGGTGTGGGCGCGTCCGTGCACGGGAAGAAGCGGCGCCAGTTTCTTTGTCAAGGAAGGAAGGAACAACAACAACAACAACAAATCGAAAAGAAGAGAAAACGAAAAAAAAAAAGCGGCGGTTGAGGCGGAGAAGGGAAAAGGAAGTATCTCTATATATCATAGGAAGTCGAAAAAGGGGGACGTGTGGCAACAGTCCCGCTCGCCACTTCGCTTTTCTCCGCTTCCGGGTCTAGTGGCAGGGGGCGGGGCAGCACCCGGCCAATCCATCTAGTAGGCCGCAGCTGTGCGGTGGTGGTGGGTGGCGTACTTCACCCTCTGCTTCTTTTCCCCCCTCGTTCAGTTTGTGGTTGGGCGCGTTGTAGCGAAGCGGTGGTGGGGAGTAAAAAGAGAAACAAAAATCGGTGGGAAGCAGCGAGAACTCTAAAGGAAACACAAACACAAAAGATCTCTACCTCTCTTTCCCCTTTCTCCCTCTCTCTCTTTCTGCGTGCGGGTGTCTGTTAAAGGGCACGCATCTGCACGCATACATATATATATATATATATATCCATCTATTAGCCGGCGAATATCTTGCTTTTGTGTGTGTGTGTGTGTGTGTGAGTGCGTGTCATTTATTTTTTTTCTGCCCCTAGTTTAAGTTGTGCGCCTCACTTTCCACCAGAAATTGATCTGCCGGTGCCATTGTGTGTGCGAGTGTTGTGGTGGGCCTTCGTCTCCACCGGTTTTTAGTTTATTTATTTATTTTTTTTTTGGCTGGGGAGTTTCCGGGCGTGTCGTGGCCAGGCAGCAACATACGCACGCACGCATCCCACCCCCTGCACGCCGCTCATACCTCCCTCGTCCTGCAGGAAGAGGAGGCGGACAGCGCCTTAGCGGCGGGGAAGGAAGACACGAGCGGGAGAAGTACACCGAATAAAGCAACCAAAAACAAGACAAATACAGTTTTTGCTTTCTGTGTGTGTGAGTGGGTGTATATTTTTCCCCGTTCTTTTGCGTGTGTGTGAGCGCGCGCTGACACTGCCACCGTCGTTCATCAAACACCCTGGCGAGGCAAAGGCGGGGTGCGGCATGAGCGGGCGCGACAGTGGCGTGGCGCGGAATGCCCCGGGCGGCGGGGCGCTTATTTGGGGGGTGGGGACGGAAAACGAGGCCGTCGAGCCGCAGCTCCCGCGCGGCCCGTCGCACGGCGCCGTGAAGGAGGCGGAGGCGGAGGCTGGTCGGCCGTCCCGCGGCGCCTCGGGCGGGGCCGAGGTGGACCAGGAGGTGGCGCTCACGAACCCCGCGCCCTCGCTGCGTGCAAGGGCGCTAAACGGGGCGGTCTCGAGCCCCCACAGCGGCAGTGGCGGGTGGGGCAGCCTCGCCGAGCTTCCCATGAGTCGCGCGGCGACAAGGGCCTCCTTGCAGGGCTCGGAGCAGCGGGTGGAGGCCTCCGCTGGCGGCACCGTCGACGGCGACGACGCGCTGTCGCCGGGGCTGTTTGACCAGCAACTGCGAGAGTCACTCGGGACGAACGTGCGTGAAGGCGACCGCCCGCACACGCCGCATCATGTACAGCAGGCGATCTCCGCTCAGGAGCGTGCCGCCCGCCAGCGGATACAAGACGACTTCCGCACCCAGCTGCACGCCCTGTACGACGTGATGGTGAACGAGGAGGACGTTTTATTAGACGACGAAATACGCGAAATCGAAATTCAGGAGTTGCGTGAAGAGGCCGATGAACGAGAAAGGGAAAGAGAACGCCGTTTGAGAGAGGGCCTGGGCGACGACGACGCGAACAGATTCCCGTGTACGGTGGCGGCAAGACCCTTTGAGGAGGGCACGGAGGACTCCGACGAGGAGGAGGAGGAGGCGGAGGTGCGAGGCCCCGTGTCGCCGTCCGAGGCGGCCGGCATGGCCGCCACCACCCCCGGCCCCCTCAAGGCAGAGCCCCTGAATGAGGAGGAAGAGCGGGCGCTCGACAGCATCGGCGACGACGTAATTTACCCCGAGGATGACCCGGGCGTCGTGCTGGAGAAGCTGCAGCGCAAGTACAGGTCTTTTATGCCTCGCGCTGAGGCTGCGCCGGGGAACTCGGAGGCGTCAACGCCCCCTCACTTCGCGGCGTTTGCAGTCAGCGAGGATACTCTCGGCGACGCGGAAGCGGAAGCGGAAGCGGAAGACGCGAAGGACGAAGAGGAGGAGGAGGAGGAGGAAGCGCTGCCTCTGCAGCCGAAACTGGTTGCGGGGGGCTGCAGGCGGGGGTTAGGAAATGTCCGCCTCTTCTCTCCGCAGGCGTGGGGGCACGAGCAGGGTGAGCGCGAGTGGCCGCAGGGGCGATTTTCGCTTCGCCTCAGTGAAAGTAGCACCGCCACCAGCAGCCTCACCGACGACCCGAACCTGTCGCCCCTGCCGGTGGAAGTCATTCCGCGAAACTTCACCCGCGCGGTGGCCGCCGTTCGCCGCGGCACCCTGGAGGCCACGGAAAGCCTCCCCTCCCGCGAGGAGGAGGATGAGGAGGGGCCGCTCGACGCCCACCTTCTCTACTCCCTCCCCCGCTCCCACGCGGGGCCGGAGAGCATGCTCGTGAATCGGGCGGAGGAGCTGGCAGGCTCCGTTGCCTCCACCGACGAAGAGGGGACGGAAGCAGCGCCGCTTGAGGCCTCTGCACAGCCGCGGCAGAGCCGGCGGCACGGCAAGCCGCAGCGCCGCGAGGAGTACACGGCGGCCGCCGAGCGGTCCGAAGCGTCGTCCGAGGAAGAGCCGGAGGCGCCACTCACCGGCTTGGCCTTGCCGTCGCAGCGGCGGGCAACCACCCACCGCCAGTCCGCACACGAGTTTATTGCAACGACCGGTGCGACCGAGGAGACCACCGACGAGGAGGACAAGGCACCGCTGCAAAGCATGCTCTCGCCCAAACCCCCAAGACACGGCCAACCCTCGGCGATGCGCATCTTGCCTGAAAGGGGAAGCGCCGCCAGCTCTGGGGAGGAAAGTGGCCACGAGCACGGACCGCTAGAGCCCACAGTTGTAAGAACCGCCGGAATTCGCAGTGGCGCTGAAAAAGTGACGCGCCAAGAGAGCGTGATGCAGCAACTCTCGCTTGACAGCAGCATCGATGAGGCGGCGGCGCTACAGGCTTCCGCGATTCCTCCCATCACTTACCACCGGGCGGCGGCGCCAACCAAACAGTATCAGAACTTCTCGGAGGCCTCCGGTCAGCCCTCACCCGCGCAGTCCGCGGAGTCACCGACAAGAGACATCGCGCAACCTAGTCGCTGCACATACAGCCTCTACAACGCAGCTGAGCCATCCTTTGAGTTCGAAGGTGACACAAACCCATCCATCAGCATTCACGACGGGGTTGAAAGCATCATGGCGGAGGAACCGTGTCTCAGCTCAACCTCGAAAGAGGCACACCTCAGCCAAGCACCCTCGGCAGTGGAAATCACAAGCATCTGTGCAGAGGGGAAAGCCATTTCAAGCGTCCAAACAAGACAACCTACAACACGCGAATCCATCGCATCTGAAGAACAGCACGAAATACCACTCATCACAAAGGAAGTGGAAAGGCAACTAACAACTGAAATAGCAGAGCCACCATCAAAATACGCTGTACATTCAGACATATATCAAAACAAACCACCCGTGCTAGTTCAGCTTCATCCGTCACAACTAGCAAAGCGAGAAACACTGGAGTCACAATTACGCGAAGAAGCCGCTCTGTCCGAGGACGCGGCGCCAGAGGCCGGCATAGCGAAGCAGCGTGAGCACGAGGTGGGGACCGCCCCGGAAGCGGTGGAGCCACTGGAGGCCGCTCTGTCCGAGGAGGGGAAGGCGAGCCCGTTGATATGGTCCAGCGACTCCAGCGCAGCCTGGTGCCCCGTGGAGGACAGGACGCGATGGCGGAAGCGGCCGCTCTGTCCGAGGACGCGGCGCCAGCGGCCGGCATAGCGAAGCAGCGTGAGCACGAGGTGGGGACCGCCCCGGAAGCGGTGGAGCCACTGGAGGCCGCTC